TTCAGAGATGTTGTGAGATGTTTCTGTTGTTACTTTCCTACAATATCTCAGAATGATTCATTTTGGTTCTATTTCATGATAATGACTATACGGTGATGCAACAAATGCTAATGGTTCATGTGAAACTAATGAAAACAGGACGGTATTAGAAGCAATGAAATTCGCACTGAAGTTTGCAAAATCGCAATACTGCAATTCTTTTTAGTCAGAGATCTCAATCCATCCACCAATGTTACTTTTCTTCAGAGTTGTATTGAGAGGTGCTTTTATTATCACTTTATTGGTCTCGTCTTGTAGCTTTGCCATGATAATCATTATATATTTCATTAAATTCATTTGAAACTAATGAAAACAGGGCGTATCTATTCCATCGGCAGGCAACTACCTTCCTATGGATTTCTGATTCATCGCTGCAAACGGCACTTAAGGATGTAAAGTTTTCAATGAAAAATGGAACAAACTCTACCCCATTATACTCAACACTCTAATTAAAATATTATTATCAAGTCTGAAAAAATACAGCATTCTTTTTTTTTGTAATGCTTCTGTGAAAAAATCTAAATTTCAAAATGTACATGATATTTCCTATTACATAAAGAATATAAAATATTTGCCTAATTATTTTATCTTTATAAACAGAATATTTTTATTTTAAAATTAAAAATCTTACAGTTACATTATTTTATGATTTCCTCTTCTCTTATATAATATCGTATATGAAGTATAAAAAGAGAAAATATTGTATTTTTGAAAAAACAGACCTCAAGATTTTGATGAATATCCTGGTATTCGACGTTCCTGAGTCGAAATATATATTTTTTCTTTTGGAATTATATCTATCTAATCTGTTTATGTATGATAACTGAAAAAACACAACGAGCTAAAAAGATGAAATTAAGTATGTGGTCTTAATACCATAACTGTAAATTTCTATTAAATTTTTGACGAAATCGGTCGAGATGCAAGTCTGTCTGTTCGTCTGTGTCAATGTGAACTGACACACATTGACACAGACGAACTCAAAACCGAAACGAGCTAGATAAATGATTTGAACCAAATCTCTCAAAGGATTGGCTGTCTGTTCGGGAGCTTGCGAATGTGATAACTCTAAAGCACAACAACGTAAATAATTGAAATTTGATATGTGGGCATCACAATTGTGAACTTATATCAAACTTTAGTACAATAAGCCTGTTGAAACTCTGTGAGTCCAAGAATGTCGCCTGGTGGCTCTGCGCGCTACTTCCAGTTTTTAAAATATATTTTCAATCTCTGTCTTACGCTTGTCTTGCTATGTGCTGTTGTGTGTGAGGTCCGTTTTGTGCTCCCTTGATGTGCGTCTATGTTCCTTATACCAAAATATACTGCAGTGGCGTAACGAGGATAAGTGGCGTCCGGGTCGTAATATGACTTTTTTGCCTCCCCCCTCGTCATTCCCCTCATCATATTTGACTTTAAAAAGTGACATAAAGGCATGAAGTTTTGCTACCATGACCAGTGGCGTAATAAGAGTAGGTGCCACCCGGAAAATAATATGATTTTTTTATCATCGTCATCAGTGGCTAACAAGCTTAAATGACGCCAGGAGTCTGGTATTATTTTTATGCCTCATCATATTTTGCTTGAAAAATAGCATAAATGCAGTAATGTTTTGACTCCATTGCTCCCCCTGAAACTGGCTCCCGGGGCATCTATACACCCCTTGCACCCCGGTCGCTACGCCACTGATGAACTAATGCATATTCTCTAAAGTTGACTTGGAGTCCTTTTCTGACAGATAAGAGGGAATTATTGATTTTAATGCAAATTGTGTATTATGCGAATTGTTCGAATTATTACCGAAGCCAAATGAAAGAGGCCCAAATGCATATTACATTCCTTTTACTGTATTGCGAAGAATAATAGGAGCCGCGCCATGTTGTGAACTCATACGAAAAAGTCAAGGGGAGAACACTCTAGCTAGTCTGCTTAGAATACTGTTATTAAGTTATTATTATCTACGAAACAACGATAATCCTTTGTTCCATTTATGTTGATTTCACTCAGTTACTTTTCTTGTTACAGATAATTTATGCACATGTTTTTGTGTCTCTAAGACTCAAATATGCATTCTTTGAAGTTTTATATTGTAAACCGTCATTCTTATTAAATGCATTTTAGAACTCGTATTGGTAAATAACTTAAATGTTACCCTATTTTGACTTTTACTTTAGTCATTAAATTAAGAGTGAAACTTTTCGTTTCACAAGTTTTGTTATCCTTACTTGAGGAATACAACCCTCTCAGTAAAATTTGGTTCTGGTAGAAGATTATGGCAGGTGAATTTCAATAGATGAAAATCAAACCATTGAAAACTTGTCTGCTTATTGATATGACTTATAATAAAGATTATTGTTTCAGATGATTTCTGTTAGGTTTTTGTATATGAGCAGCAGTTTGCAGATTTTTTTTGTTAGTTGTTATTTTCTCGAAATATTTTGAAGTGTCTTGCTATTATATTTTGAGGAAAATATCTTTAATGGTTGAGCATAGAAGAGAATATTATTAATTTTTTAGATTAAAATGATAAATTTTCAGCTGTAAACTCTGCTAAAATTTAATCATAAAACCATGTAGTTTTCTTTCTTTTATGTTTAGACATCTTCTTCTATTTTCTTTTATTTACTTTTGCTGAGAAAGAAGAAATTAAGCATAATTTATTTCCTCATTAAGAGAGAGGAAGTTTCAAGAAAGGTATTTATTGTTTTTAGAAAAAGTGTCTGGTCTTTGGCATAGAGAGACCTCAAGTTTAAAACCCTTTTCTATGAAATGCGCCCCGTTGGTGTGGCGTGGAAGTTTGGAGAGGGGGGTGCCAGCTCAGGTGTCGTCCTCGTCATCTGACCGTGGTTCAAAATTACGAGGTCCGTCCCAAAATAGCCCTCGTGTTGCTTCAAAACGGGACGTTAATATAACTAACTAACTAACTATGAAATGCGCCTTGTTAACGTTAAATCCGTTGTGGCTAGAATGTCCGAAAAGTGGTGTGGCATGGAAATTTGAAAGGGAGCTTCTTGCTTAGAGATATATTAAACAGAATTAACCCTTTATATAAAAAATTAAATTACAAAATTAAATGATTAAAATGAAACGTATACTAAGCATTAAATTTTCTTACTAAATATATTTTTATAAAAATTATTCTTATTTTTCACAAGAATGCTACAGCTGAATGTAAGTATTTTCTAGATAAAAAATTTAAATACGAAATCTTAACATTATTTTTATAATTTTCAAATAAAGTTAAATTAATTATACAATAATTATTCATAATTTTTCCTTACATTTGAAGATTGAAATCACACTTTATATCTTTTCTTTAAAACTCTTGCCGACTAAAATAAAAATAACAATGATAATATAAATAATTTAAAAATCAACGCATTGTGATTGGAAGATAATAATATTTTGAAATTTTGTGTCTCTAATTATTTACGGGCTTGAGATGGAGTAATTTTAAATATATTTTTAATAATTATCTGAGAATCAAATAAAATCATTCTTTGGGGTTTCTCTTTTTTCATTAGGCAAAATGAATAAAATATTTTTTTGACATTCGTAGAAACAAAATCCTTAATAATTTATAAAATTACGAGTACAAAATATAACAGAATAATTTATTTTTGAGCGTTTTCTTATCGGAAGAAGTTTGGAACAATGCAACATGCTTGTTCGAACTCAATAAAGCATTATAAAACTCAAAAGAGGGAATTTAATTTATTCTTTTCGAAAAAGCAGGAAAAGAAGAAATAAATCCGCTGTAAACTTCGTTATTCCAGTGCAATATCTGAGGAACAATGAACAAGGGAGAGGAGGAAAAGAAAAGACCAATGATTCTTAAAGTTATTTAGAAAAACAAACAATTCGTTTCGTAAGAATTTCAGTTCTTGTATTACGTCCCACGGTTCCATTTCTTGCCAGAAAAAATCGTTCCGTGTCTCCCGTCCACTATCGTTTGCTCCCGAAAATGCAACAAGTTTCTTATCCCCTCCGCGTCTTATTGACCATGAGGCGAATGAATGAATAAATAGGGATTTGCTGCGCGGTAAAGTTCGTCTCCGGAGGTCGCCTAGCAACGGTTGCCGGGGCAACGGGCCAGAAGATATAAATGTGTCAAGACGCGCTACAACAAAATGAGCTTCGACGACGTTTCGCATTTTTTCTGTTTGTTCTTTTATTTTCGTGCTTACGCGGAGGTGCCACTTTGCGGGGTTGAAATGTCCATGGAGAATACTTTTGTGAAATAAAAGATGGAATGGAACGATGTTAGAGGGGAATATGTCAGACTTTTTGGCAGAAGACAGATGCATTGTTTAATTCGCAAATGTCATTAAGAGATATACGACGGAATATCTCAATACCTGTTATTATTCATCATTGTTGCTACTGATTTTTTTTTTACTTCTTAATCTGATTGGAATGCATTTTTAATGTATGCTTCTATTCTATTGTGTTCATGAAGCGCAAATATAAATCGGAAGTAATAGAATGTTGTTTAAAATCATATAATGTCATCTTATTCATCAAGCACTTACAGTATGACTAGTATTTAAATATTCACTTTATTAGAATCACAATTTTTTTTCCGTTCATTGGTTGTCTTTGGTGAATCTGATAATCACACCCGCCGAACGAGGGGCCGATAACTTTTCCTTTTTGAATTCTTGTTATTTGTGATTATCACTTTCTTACAACCTTTTGTTATTACAAGATCTTACCATGAAAGGGAGAAGATTGGTTGTAGTGAGTTTTATATCGTAAGTTTTTTTTTGGTTTAGTTTTTAGTTATATTAACATCTCGTTTCGAAACAAAGCGAGGACTGTTTTGGGACGGACCTCGTAGCTTTGAACCGAGGTCAGATGAAGACACCTGCGCTGGCACCCTTCTCCAAACTTTCGCACCACACCAGCGGGAGGACGATTGGCTACTACGTATGCAACAAGCCCAATACACAGCGGATCTTCAGTGCAATCAGGTTTCAAACCTGGAACTTTCAGATACTGAAGTCGAGACCTTACCACTAGGCCAACGCAGCCTTCTTTTATATCGTGAGAGTAATTTTGGGTTCTTTGCGCCAAACGTGATGAAAAAATGAAACCACTCTAAGAATAAGCAGCAGTCCGCTAACGTAGTAAGAAAGATTCAAACCATTCTCTCTTAACAATTTTGAAATCAATCAAGAGCCATCAATGTATTTTAGAAAAAAAGGAAATTTAAAATTTGTTGTAATAATTATAATTGTATTCCCTTATCTCTTCAACATTTCGTGTATTCCACGTTGAAATTTTTCTCGCAAAAAAATAACAATATAGATACACGGACATAAAAAAGCACCACGAACAAGAATACGGAATGAAGAGAAGAATTCTGAAAGAACGCAAACAAATGTAAAAGCAGACGGTTTACAACTTCTGTTAAGAACGATAATTATATATTTATTAACATTAGAAAAAAACATGCAGCATATATCTGTTAATGATTTAAAACAATTTCCAGTTTGAAAAATTTCTGAATGTCCGGATATTCTAGAATAAATTTCAAGTTATGGCACGATTCCATTTTGTTATCAGCAGTTTGGTACCTGAATTCACATTTAATGGAATTCATGTTAGAAAGCTATTGCTCATATAATTATGCAGACGTAATGAAATTAAAAACACCAGCTGAACATGCGTATTTTGCCTTGACAAAAACCATACAGTACGGTGTATTGTTTCAACTGTGGGATGTCTTTCACTAAAAATATGATGCGTTACGGCAGTGGCGGACTGGGTCTGAAAATAGTGGTTGCCAGGTGTCAGTGAGGGCCCACACATATCTATAATCGTAACATTAATTACATTAATAAATTATATGTATTTAATTTTTCTATTTAATTATATTAATTTAAATCTATAATATTTAATAATTATATATTTAATTTATTTTTTTATTATATATTTCATTTTTCCGCGTTTTTAAATAAATCCCTTTTAACACCTTTTAATTTTCTATGTTTAAAATAACGAAACTATGTTTAAAGTTATTTGATTTTAAATTCCGTAAGTTAAATATTATATAAGAAACACGGACCTTGGGTACAGGGCTATTTTATTTATTTGCTTTAGAGAAAGAGTTCTTTTTTCTCTTCCATATTTCCTGGGGGCCCAAATTGTCTTCTGTTTAAGGGGGCCCACTTGCCATCGGGCAAGCTGGCAACCTCGCCAGTCCGTTACGGTGGTACTAGATAAAATACAATGCCAGAAACCGGTCTTAGTGTCTCAAAATTTTGCGAAGCTATCAAAAATATAAATTTTAAGTATATATAAATTGTAAGAAATATGTAAAAATTCATCTTCATACCTTAGTTTCTAATAATGGAAGAAAATCACTGGAGTAAACACTTGTAGACGCAATGCAAACGGTTTGAACACGATAATGAAAACTACTGTTCCAAATTACAGTCAAATCCCGGCATGATGAACGAACCGAGGATATAATGAACCCTAGGTTAAAGCGAACTTTTTAAATTGTTCTAGACGAACTCCTATGTAATTAATATATTTTCAAATGCTTGTTGCGAACTTCAAAACCAAAGAATTCGGATACAGCGAAGCAAAATTCTGACTTCTGCCAGCTCTGTCTCTCAAAACCATCTACTCCTCTCATTCCGTGGGGGACTTTTTATCCACCACCTGGGTCACACAAACCGCACTTAATTAGCTCACCTGCCTCCGGGTATGACTACCTCAAGGAGAAAATTTGCATTAACAGCGCCCTTTGATGGTCATTTTCAATCCATCACCCAGTGTGACAATCGGCGTGTCGACAATGGAACGGTTATCACTCAATCGCTTTCCTTTGTACTCCAGAGGGAATGCATATCTGTTTTCTTTGTGCATGACAAAACTGCAAAGAGACGAGGTACGTATGCCATAACACATTCTTTTACTTTCTTTAGCTCAATTTGGTGAGTGTGGTTTCAGTTACATCGCCTATATATAAAACGGGGAGTGTTAGTAAACGGCAAGCTTTTTCTGTCGATTATAAAATGAAAATTATTAAGAGAATAGAAGGTGATGAGAGTCAATCTGCTGTTTGTAGAGAATTTTGACTTCCTGAATCTACAGTTCAGATTATTTGGAAAAATTATAGCGTGGTGATCTCAGCCTACGAGAAAAATCTAAACAGTACTAAGAATTTGCTAAATGTAAGTACAATTAAATTCGATTCACTCTTTAATTTTTCAAAAACAAATATTTAGATTTATTGTAGCCCATAAATATTTGTAATTCAGTGTAATTAATTTATTCAACAAAAATGGTGTATAAGGATTATAGTAAATTTCATGTAGCCAATATTTGAAAAATCTAATATAACGAACTTCTGGATCAGTCTGTTGAGGGTTCGTTATTACGGAGTGTGACTGTATATTCAAAAATATATTTTTTTAAAAATTGGAAAAAGAAATTGCACAACAGGGAATTGTACAAGTAAGCATTATTGAAAAGTTATTTCCGGAGTTTTAAAATGGTCCAAAATACATTTTTGACTGATACCATTTTCCAAAATTATTACAAAAAACGTCAAATATCGATTAATTTTTACTTATTAAAAATTCTAATACAATTTCAATAAACATTGCTTACAGTTGGACGTTCTCACCCTTTAAAGTAATTTTTCTTCTAGTTCTATGTCCAACAATCTAAACAGCAGAACCCTAACAGACACAAAAGCATTCCCTTTTATCATTATTAGACTATATTTTATCAAACCAGTTCATTGAAAGCAATGCGATCATGGAATTTCGGTTTTGGAATCAGCGGTACCCGGATTCGAAACCTTATTCTATGGAGAAATTGTTAAAAGAAGTCTTTTATCTGTCTGTGTCTTTAAGAATGCAAATTAATATAGCATTAGTTCTGCTTACGTCCGACGACATTAAACATACATTTATAGTTTTTGCTATTGATCCTTGCATTCAAATAATTCACAGTTCATTTATAGGATTTATTCGCAAAGAATACATTCAAATATTGAAATTAAAAATCTCATTGAAGAAATTTCTGAATCTTTTCTAGGGATGAAGAGAAATACCTCATTACTTAACTTGAAACATGGTGAAATTCCTATTTTTAACTGTGTAAAATGTTAAGTTGCATTTAATTTTTAAGAAAATATTTAAGTATGCCTACGGCAAAACTATTAATTTGTAGACGAAACAAAATAATTATATGCAATAATAGAATTCCGAAATGAGCTTGATTGTTCCACCAAACAATCATATTATGAGATCGAAAATTAACTTTCTCGCTAAATAAATTCTGTAAAATACATTCTCAGCAGTGCCGTCATCTATAATCTAGTATTCTAATTTCATTTCCGGAAAAGGTCTCCTTGTGTGAAACCTGGCATCAATCCTTTACCGGACAAAGCGCACAAAGGATAAACCAGTCACAAAAGTCGTCTGCCACAATTCCATTTAGTTATTTCCGATGAAAAGAACATTTCATTACCCGCACACTAAGAGAAAACTACTGCGACTTATTCTTCGTGATTGGAAAACTTTATTAAGGGCCTACGCATTGTGGGGACGTAGAAAACATTACTTATTGTTCAACATGAGCATGCGAAAAGCTGAAATTTTTCTTTCGTTATTTATTTTTTCAACTATGGGGAGAATTGTTGATTTGGAAAGAGAAAGATTTTATTTCGTTTATGCAATGCGATTTATTTATTGTATATGAAATCTCGGCTAAGTTATATAAGTAATGAAAATTCAGTAATGAAGAAATGATTCAGAAATTAAGTCATTAAGATTAATTCAGAAATTAAATCAGTAAAATTAAATTAAACCTATAATGCCTAGTACAGAACCAACGTTAACACATTTTTGAGGTTATTGTTATTGCCAATTTTTCTTTTGTTTAAGAATTCCTTTGTATGCCAGCTCCGGTGTCGTCCTCGTCACGCGACCGCTGTTCAAAATTACGAGGTCTGTCCCAAAATAGACCTCGATTTGCTTCAAACCGGGATGTTAATATAACTAAACTGAAACCTACGATAAACGAAAATAACTGTGATTCTTTAAAAGAAAGAAAATGAAAAGAAAAATATGCTATTAATATAGTCCGGTCTGTTAGCTGAAAAATATTTCATTTCTGGCAGAAATTGTGAATTTTGGGTACTAACTCTGTATTATTTTCTGACTTAAAAACAGCCGAGACCCAAAGTTTTAGAGTAAAAGTTGACCAGTAATGACGTCATCACATTTTCCCCCCGAAATTATGTGCTTCTTTTTAATTATTTATGTTGTATTCTATTATATTTGATTATTATCTGATCCAAAAGCTTAAATGTTGGTGTTAAGAACATAACAGGAGAATTATTGTGCAATATGGTTGGTCAGCAATGATGTCATCAAAATGATGGTCAAACGAAAGACTGTTTTCGAATTTAGTATTATTTACGATCTGTTTAAAAAAACACGAGGGATATTTGGTTGCATGTCTCATAGTTATGAACCTTGGTCAGGCAACGAAGACATAACACTTGAGCTGGCATCACCTTCTCCAAAATTCCGCGCCACATTAGCGAGATAATGCGGTCTGTTAGCTGAAACAAATTTCACTTCTGTCAGAAAACATGTCCTTTGAGGTATAATTACTATACGAATGTAAAACACCCGAGACCCCAAGTTTTAGAGCTCCCGTTGGTCGGTAATGACGTCATCAAAATGAGGGTCAGTGACATTTTTTTTCAAAATTATGTTCTTGTTTTTTATTATTTATCTTGGACTATGGTTTATTTGATTATTATCTGATCCAAAAGGTTAAATATAGTAACTGGGAGCATTACAAGGATAATTCGTGACTCTTCATTTATCATCGATGCTTAGAAATGGCGTCATCAAAATGATCATCAAGTGAAAAATTGTTTTCCAGTTTAGTTTGGTATTATTTCGTCTTGTTTTGATTCAGAACGAGAGCAATTTTGGACAGACCTCATAATTTTGAGCCGTAAACAGATGACGAGAACGACGCCTGAGCCGGCATC